CTCTCTCTCTCTCTCTCTCTCTCTCTCTCTCTCTCTCTCTCTCTCGATGTATGTGCCTCTCTAATAAGTGTGCGAGCTCTCTCCCGCTCTCTCTTTCTTTCTCTCAATTGTACAGGCGCTTTCCCCTAAATCCCCAGGCTATCTCTGACGATAGAATACGTCGTTGTATACCTATATATTTTCACTTTAACCCAGTTTACTGTATTGTTCCACTTTACGCGGCATTTCTTTGAAAAGCGACACACGAAAATTGTAGAGCTTTTCGTTTACCGAATCGTCGAGCAGGGTTGAGTGGCGCTAGTCAACAGTGTAAGAAACACGCATGCATGTAGCCCATAGAAATAGAATTCTATTCTATTTCTATGATGTAGCCGCGTAACCCAGCAGAAGAGTTGCCGAACAAATCGGATCCTTCTATGATAGGCGCACACGCATGCGCTCGCGCACGCGCGCAGAAACACAAACGCACGCACATGAGCGCGCGCGCACACGCACACAAATACACACGTACGCACGCATGCACACACACACACACACACACGCGCACGCCTACGCTCGTAGTTATAATTGGTATTCGTGCAGCAAAGACGCCTAATGCATCGATAATTGAAACGCGACATTAACGGCGTAAACAAGCGGAATCTCTTGTACGAACGTTCAATTTCCCGATTCAAGTTTCCCAAAGACGACCTTCCAGCAAAGAGAAGCGGTCCGCCCGCTAGGGTGCCGCAAGACAAGGCGTGAATGACATGTGGGCAACCACAATTCGGAATACAAGATAAGATATCTAGAGAACAACGGAGCCGCTGTTATACTTAATAGGCATAAGCACTGTGTAGTAGGGCAAAGAAACGCCCGAACGGCGGCCTAGAATCGTCGGCGCGCCATGCACCGCGCATGCGCTATCTGCATGCGTCCGTGTACACCGTTATCTAGCAGCTAACCTAAATGCGAGTATATAGCCGAAAATTGCGAGCACGCACGTATTGTTAGCAGGCTTCGACGCAGCCAGGTGTCCATTCTATTCACCACGTTATTCCTGTCGGGCGCGCTCGTTCTCACTGACCCTTTGCTGAAAGAGCAGCAGCAGCAGCAGCAGCGGCGGCGGCAGCAGCAGCAGCAGCAGCAGCAGCAGCAGCAGCAGCAGCAGCAGTAAGCGGTGGTATAAGGTTGATCATGAGGTAACGACAATGTTAGCTTAGACGAGGGCGGATTCTTCCATAATGAGCGGCGAGGTAAGGCGGTCGACCGACAGAGTTTAGCTGATCCCTTCCCGTGAGGTCGCTTATGCGCTATTCAATCGCATTCGCAATTGTCGTCTGAGGGATTGGCGTCGGCGGCGGCAGCAATTACACGTGGATTGCGGCCACTGAAATCACGTGGATCGCGGCCACTGAAATCACGTGATCGCGGCCACTGAAATCACGTGATTGCGCCGAACGCTTATCCTATTCTCTCTGTCTACGTCGTTACGTAACGGGCTGAACGCATTCACGCGACTATATCGGTGCTTGCAGCGGGAGTGTATACTATATCAACATGTTCTGCTTGCATCTATGACAAATACGACATACGCATATACGCTCTCCTATATGACACTATTTGTCATAGGAAGATTCTTCCTATGACAAATATTGGCGAGTCAACTTCGTACCGCTTTACAGCTGAAATTCACTGCTTGCGTTCATAATAGCGCTCCTAAACTCCTATATGATGCGCACAACACATACAACAATATTTGTCATAGGAAGAATTTTCCTATGACAAATAGTGTCATAGGAAAGCGTATAATTATGCGTATGTCGTATTTGTCATAGATGCTAGCAGAACAGGCTGTTAATATAGAGAACCTAGATAACTAGATATAGAGACTCTATATTATACACTCCTGATTCCATCCATAGTCGGTGTTCATTTTTTGCGATTACGTTTCTTCGCGCATGGTAGCGCCATGGACGATGTGTGCACGTGCCGAGATGCATGTATATTTGAGGTTCTATTTCGATTATCAATAACGCAATGTATTTTTATTAACGTTCGATTCCTACGTCTGCTGAATTGCCTGGTGAAGAGATGTACATCACGAGAGCTCGTTAATTAAATGTTAAACACCCTCAACCTATTATTTGACTTTGTTTGTATACATGTGAAGTGACGGGAAGGAATTACGCACGTATGCGGAGACCGGTTGGTTGATAGCGCATACGTTGCTGTCATGTATTACTGTGACCTGCTGCAGACGAAATACGGTTATTAGTATTAAAGTATTAAGTTTTCCGCGTTAGGCCATTGATATTTTACAATATTAATTTCACGGGGTTTCTCTCACGAGGGGAGGAAAATTAAATAAACGGAGGTCGGCCGTGCAAGCGAGTAATAGCGAGAACAGTGTAAAGAACACAAAAATGAGGAAAGATACGGGAGAGGAATAATAATATAAGCTATGCTAAAATGCTGGATCCATGTTCTCAACGCTATTCTCACGTGCGAACTCAGCCTAGGCGTTGAAATGACAAGCTCGATAAATCATTGAAGTGACCTTAATATTTCTCCAAGTAGACATTCGGGCATTGCACGATGTGTGTGGGCAACCAGATTCTTCCCGATTTCATTTTAGTCATTGGAATTCCATCAGTTCTGTGCACGCGACACTAATACCTATGATTTCCGATCTCCACGTGTGTATAATTCAAGGAGTTAGAAAACGTTCTCTATCATTATTTCACGTAAACGCCTAACGTTAACATATAACACAAGCCCATTATATTAATGCAGGTAGGCGGGCTGAGAGACGTGGCATTGAGAACGTCGCAGCCAGTTTATTTAAGGTTTCAGAAATTTTTTAATGCATAGATCGTCTGGAATTTTATAATTTGGAAAAGGTAATCAGGTAACGTTCATATTCAAAGCATTTAAAGGCGAGGCATAACGTATAAAATTAGGAGTAACAATATGTCTATTATTTCCTCGTTATCAAATATGGAAGTGCATATATATGAGAGTTCTTCATGAGATATTCATAGCGCTGACCGCGTTACGTGACATGCACGCACGGGTAACATAGAAATTGAATAAATGGGCATTACAGAGACTCTCTTCTATACACGTAATCGCACAGATAAATATATGTATGTAGGGGCAAAATCCAATCCAGACACGCATGTGTTACTAAGTGTAATATAAATCTTTGCGAGAATTCAACGCCATTATTTACATCTCGTGGTATACTCACGAAAAATTCCCTCGTACGTTTGTACCAAATTACTCTACCGAGTCGGTTACAGGGATGATAAACATTTCTGGAGAAAAATGTGAGTTCGGGCGAAATCGACGTGTCAGCATAGCATTCCTCTGTCAAGGCGTCGTGAACAAATATCCCAGTCCGGTGTAGAAACCGGATTAGCCCAGCCCGCGATAATGCAGCCGCTGCTCTCTGCCTACTTCGACTCAATCTGTTCTTCTTATGACGGTGTATGTGTATAACGGTGAAGGTTACGCAGCATTCTGACCTCACCTGTTTAATACAAACTTCTAATTATAGTGATTTCCACTCGTAGGCGTATTTACGAGAAATAAATCATCGAGGGCGAACCAGGAGGTGATATTATATAGCACGCCAC